CATGATATTGGGTAAGTTTTCTGTCAGCAGTTCTTCAATGATCCTCTCTGTGTTTTCTGTTTTCTCCCCCTGTTCTGGTACTCTGATCACTCGAAGATTTTTGCTTTTGATTGTATCCCACATAATTCTCAGGGTATCTTCATTTTTCTTAGTTCTTTTCTCTGATTTTTCCTCAAACAGAGTTGTATCCAAGTGTTTGTCTTCAATTCCGCTGATCCTGTCTTCCACCATTTCAAATCTGCTTCTCAGCCCTTCTGTCCATTTCTGAAATCTTGTTGTTTATCTTTTGGATTTCTAATTTTTGTTTTTGTATAATATCTAGTCGTGAATTTATTTTGGCATTTTGTTCCTGCATTATTTTCCTGAATTCTTCCATTTGTCTGTCTGTATTTTCGATGAATTTTTCTGCCTTTTCCATGAATTTGTCTATTTTTTCCTCATCTTTGTCTGCTTTTTGCTTTAACTCTTGGATAATTCTGAGCATTAGAGATTTGAATTCCCTATCAGGTAGTTCTAGCACCTTTTCTTCTACTGGAAAGTCATCTGATGTTTTATTTTGAAAACCTATTGGAACCATCCTTTCCTGTTTTTGTAAATGGTTTGATATTGTGTGCTGTCTTTGGGGCATTTAGTAGTGATTTTTCTCATTTATTCATTATAGATTTGTTTGTTTTGTCCTTTTTTTTTAAATTTGGCTATGCCTGAGCAGGCAGGCTGTGTGTTCTTTGTTGTTCATTCGCCTGTGAGCAGGATACTTTTTGCCTCTTTCTCCAATTGGCAGGGTCAGTCACTCAGATATGGTACAGCAGGGCAGGTCTAGCTGAAGAAGAGTTGCCGGGATGGTTTGTTTGTGGCACTTTACAGCCACCAGGGCAGGTCAGTAATCCATGCAGGGCAGGTTCCGGTAGGCCGTGCCTGTGCTGCTTGGTGGTGTGATGTTAAGTGCACGGTGCAGGTAGGCAGGATGGAGGGGGGAGATTGTTATGTGTGGAGCTAAGATGGGTATGGGAGAGAGGAGAGAGGAACAGGAGCCAAAAGCGTACAAAGAAACAAAAAAGAGTGCTAGGGGAGCTTGCCATTGGAGTGGAGAGATGAGAGACTATGAAATGGAGAAAAACAAAAAGGGAAAGAAGAAGAAAAAAAAAAGAAAATAATGAATAAATAAAAATTAGAAAGAAAGAAAAAACAGCAAAGTTCCCAGGGATCCCACTGGTGCAGTACAAGGTCTGGGGAAGTTGTTTCCAGTTGTTGCAGTACAGCCTGGCTAGAAGGTGTGGAGGAATTAAGCGCCAGGTATTTAGGGGACAGGAAGAGAAGGAAGGTATAGAGAGAAGAGAAACTGAGTAATGAAGAAAGTCAAAAAGGGAAAAAAAGGAAAAAGAGAAAGAAACAAATTAAAAAAAAAAAAAAAGAACAAGAAAAGCCCCCAAAAAGACAGGAAAAAAAACCCAAAAAAAACAGACACAAAAAAGAAATGCTCTCAGGGATCCCTCTGCGGTCTGCGTGAGCTGAGGGTGTAGGTCCCAAGCCGCGTAGCACTGCCTGGCCAGAATGGGCTCCCAACTCGAGAAAAGGAAAAGAAAACAAACAAACAATTCAAAACAAACAAACAAACAAAAGACCGGGGATCCCACCAGCATGGCAGCCCAGACTGGGAAGCAGTTCCACACTTGAATGGAGCTCTGCAGCCCCCCAGGAAGAAGCAAAGATGGCGCAGGGAGCCTGGTATTTGAGCAAAAGGAGGGGGAGGTGGTGAGAGGTAAGGAAGAAATCAAAAGAAGTGGAAAAAAGCAACACCAGCAGCCAACAAATGGCACTCAGGGAGTCGGTCAGTGCTGGCAGGTGGAATCCAAGCAGCTGGTGCTTCCCGGCCAACAGACTGTGGCCTCAGGAAGCAGAGGAGGCTGAGTGGAGAAGGGTGGGGGCTGGGAAAGCATATATTGCTGTTTACCAGTTGTTCTATCTCCTGCTAGAAGCTCCGTGAAGCTGCTTTCTCGTACCCCTTATTTGCTGGTCTCTGATAGGAGTCCATGATGGGAGATCCGTACTGTGTTAGCTGATAGGGGACCTCTGCTTGAACCTCTCCTCGCTCTCCTTTCTCTGTCAGTTTTCTCAGTCCATTTGGTACTTGGCTGAGTTCTTTATCTCTTCATTTGATGTTTTAGGGTTTCAGGATTGCCGTTTTCCCTGTTTGGCCTAGGTTTTCAGATCTTTGCTATGGCAGGACGACGTGGTGCTTCTGCCTAGAGCGCCAAGTTGCCGGAAGTCCCTACAAGTAGTTTTAAATAGAGTTACTGAGACTTGGCTAACAAAGTATTTAATAGAAAGTGAAGAGGATTTACAGAGAACTTATGTTTAATCACATTATTCAGCACATATGTATAGTCTTGAGTCACTTTAAAATCATGTTTTGGATACAGACAAGGGACAAGTCATGAATAAAATATTCCTTTTTTATTGTTACTTATCATTTCAAAAAGGTTAATTTTATTTTTTCTCTTGAGGTTTAAGTTCCTGGAGAGCTGAAACTGAGTCTTATATTTCTCTGTCCACCATCTCCTCCACTCCAATTATTTGATTGCTTTGTAAGCAGTAAATAATAGTTTGTTTCTTCCTGATACTTCCTAAATGATGACAAGTTCTTGAAAACAATTTATGGACTTAAAGTCTTCTTAAAGTCTTGCCAGCACTACTAATCTGGTAATAAAATTTCTTCTAAGATTATTTATAAATAGTAAACCTAATCCTGATTTTGTGACTACAAATCAGTAAAGATTCAACAACAGCCTCAACATTAATAGCTATTATTTTGTATTTGCCACCTACAAGGTTCTAAACAATATCATTTAATCTTCATACCAACCTTTTGATGAAGTTTTTTTGGTAAAACTTGTAAAATGTAACTGAGGTTCAGGGAGGAAAAGTGATTTGCTCATGGTCACACAACTGGTATTAATTAGGATTTTTAAAATTATATTTTCTGGTTGGGAAGATGGTTCGTGTAATAAAGGGCACAATTTCATAAAGCCTATAGACTTAAAGTGCATTATTATTAATCTAATCTTTAGTTTTCTTTCTTTTTAATAATAGGCTACTGAATTCAACCAATGGAAGAATGTTCTATTTATCATACAGTTTCTTCTTTCCTGTTTTTTGGGGTAAGAAACCATATATAAGTAGAAGCTTTGGTCTGTGGTATCTCTTAACAAGTCAAAGAAAAATACATGTTCTGTCTGCTCTGTAAACATCTCTTCATCTGTGCTTTCCCAATTTTCTCTGGAAAGTTCACCTGCAGCAGAGGAGTTGATTTGGTCCCCAGGACACCTGGGAGGCCAGCCTGAAAGATGGGGAGCAAGCTGCGTTATCTGTTTTATCTTTGAAACTCATACTCATGTTACATTCTACTCCATTATAAAGTATTGCCTATTGATTTCTGAAAGTTAGTCTGAAATGAAGTCAGGAGACATACAAAGTTCAGTATTGTGTTTTTGTCTTTCTCACAGTGTCCCAATTTTTCAAGCTCTCTGCCCCATATAAATATAGGATATAAGTGACAACCATTTTCTGTAGTGCTATATGCTGTATTCAGAAAAATCTCTGAGGAGAGATGTCCAGCCTGCTATAATGTCCAAAAATTTTAGGCTTTTGTTCTTGGAAATTTCTTTAGGTGTATCTTTCTGTTGAAAGACCATGTAGCTTGTGTTTTTTTTATCTTCTAAAAATGTGAAAATTCATTCTCATGCATAGATAATAGATGCAACAAATAAATAATTCAAAAGGTACAAAAGAATACACAGGAACTTAAGCCACCCTCCCTTCTCTGCCCTCTAGTACTGCACAGGCAACCAGTGTTGGGAGTTTCTGGAGTATCCTTTCTGAACTGGGTGCCATGCCTACACAGTCGCCTGTGTCTTATGCCAGACTGAGACTTAGAATTACTGTCTCAGAGAATTACTTACCAAAGGCTTTTTTTCTGTGAAGAAAGATAATTCCCCCCCCCTTTTTTTTTTTACCACTAATGCTACAATTTTTATAATGTGTAAATGAACTAAGAATTTTAGTCAATTCTCAAACTTCATTTTAATTGCAGCGAAGAAGTAACTTATAGTAAAAACATTTGTGTGTATCTTCCAGTTCACTAATTCTCTCTTTGGCTGTTTCTGACTTAATGTTTAACTTGTTGATGAAGTTTTTAATTTCAATAATTCTGTATTTTATTTGTAGAAGTGCCACATTTTTTTCCCAAACATATCTGCTTATCTTAACATTTTCTCATAAGTGATATTTGTGACTGTACTTTATTCTTTAAATATTACACACATAAATCAAGACAAAACCCGTTCTATTGAATTGATTCTAATAGTGACCCTATAGGACAGAGTAGAACTGCCCTATAGGGTTTCCAAGGAGTGGCTGGTGGATTTGAGCTGACAACTTTTTGGTTAGCAGCTGAGCTCTTAACCATTGCACCACCAGGGTTCCATTACACACATAGCTATCTTATCTTCTGTATCTGACAATTCTAATATATGCAGTTCTTGAGAATCTAAATATGTAGTTTGTTGTTTTGGCTGACTTTCATAATGGTTTGCTTTATTGTGTGTTTGGTGACCTTTGATTGTGAGCACATTGTTTGATCTTTATCAGTCATATGGACTGAAATTGGGAATTTGAGAAACTTCCTGGTGGGGAGAATTTGTTTTTGCTTCTGCTGATAGCCAGGGGTAGTCACAGACTTGGACCACTTCCGGCCTCTTTAAGGGTATGGGCTCAGTGTCTTACGTCCTACCTGGAATTTGGCTCAAGGCTCAGTTTCTAGATAGTGTTATTCTGTGATGGCCCCCTCCTGTAATCCTGTTCCGACTATCTGCTGTCTGATCCTTGCCTGGCCTTAGTTCCCAAGCTCTCTGGACGCAATTCTCCCCTTCTTACAGGGGGATTTTTGGGGAACTCCAATGCCTCTTTCAAGACCAACAATGTCTCAAACAGTATATCCTGTCCGGGCACTCGTTGTTCTCGAGTGGGAAGGTCCCTTAGAGTACTCAGCCATTGCTGGAAGCATACATTTAGTCAAATATTTGTAGTTTGACTGGTTGTTGACTGAGACCATTTAACCTTGAAGAATATCTACTTAGTCATGTTTTTGAGCCATCCTTTGTCAAAACACCTTTTATCCTTTTCTCTGATTAGAAAAAAAATTCAACCCATAGCACACTAGCTCAGACCAGCATCTTTCTTTAGTTAAGCTCATAACCACCTATGAACAGTAGAACAAAGTTTCACCACCTTTTCTCATTTCATTATAAAAACTTAATGAGATACTGTTTTTTATTTTTTTAAAAGCTTGCACTCTACTATTTACCCATTCCATGAAGGAAGTAAAGAAGTAAACCCTCTGAAGTCAACTTTTCTCGATGAATGATGTGGAGGGAAGAGCCTGGATGTGAGCTGTCACTCCCTGGGGTTTGATCCCGTCTGTGTACATCTCCATTCATTTTTTTTCCATTTAATAATTTGCTTCTAAGAAAATACTCTCTTGATAAGAATTCTTAATACATTATTTTATCAATAGTCACTTTGCAAAAGAAACTGCCATAAAGGCATAGTAATTATAAATGAATCAGTAAAAATGGTGAAATCATTACCATTCCTACTTTTGTCCAACTTAAGGAAGAAAACTAGGTAGATCAGTTTTTTAAATGAGTCCTTTGAGGACACTGCAATGATGGCGACATTCCAGTGGCTAAGTGCCTGAACTCTAGAATCAGTTAGCCTGGGTTTGAATCCTGGCTTTGCCCCTTTTAGCTCTGGGTTCTTGCCCAAGTTGCTCGAACTCTCTGAGCCTCAATTTCCTTATCTTTAAAATGGGGACAACAAACTAAAGTACCTGCTGTCTAGAGTAGGGCTATGTGAATTGAATGAGTTAATAGTGAAGAGCACTTAGGATAGTGCTAAAAACCAAAAAAAAAAAAAAAAAAAAAAAAAACACCAAACCCACTGCCGTTGAGTCAATTTCTTCTCATAGCAGCCCTACAGGACAGAATAGAACTGCCCCATAGAGTTTCCAAGGAGCGCCTGGTGGATTCGAAATGCCGACCTTTTGGTTAGCAGCTGTAGCTCTTAACCATTATGCCACCAGGGTTTCCAGGATAGTGCTAGACACATAGAAAATTCTCACAAAGTATTAGCTATTATTATTATTGTTAGTTCTGTTTCTTGAGGTCAACATTTTCAGCTTGGTTGTGCTCTTTTCCCCCATACAGATTCAGCTCTACCTATAGCCCACAGCTTTAGCAGTTTTTCTTCTAACTTTACCTTCAGTGGTAAAGTTTTAATTCTGAAACTGCTCTAGAAGGAAGCTTCTAATTTTGCCTGGTGGATTTTTCAGAATCCTACTTTCTTGTAGTTTCTCACTCAGAAGACACAAAGATTGGGTCATTTACATCTCCACAGTCCCAGAAGCCATTGCCAGCTTCCAGGCATATCCTTATTTTTCAGAATGACTGGTCCTGGACTAGGGCTAACTGGTCCTGGACTAGGGCTCGAGGGGTGTCTCAGGGCTAACCACACACATTCCGACCCTCAACTCCAGAGGAACTTGAACTCTCAGCCTCTTACTTGAAACTTGGTTTCAAGTTTGCACTTCAAACTTCTTTTATTTTTTCCAACCACCGACCTCTGTTTCAAGTTGAAAATATACTTAAAAAAATTACAGCACTGTAAAAAAGTATGTGAAGAATGCCAGTGGGTTGATGAAAGGACAGACTTTTAATTTCTTTTGTTTTACAGTGAAGGATTCAGCTTCAGGAAATGGTACTGTATGTAGTCACGAGTTTATATTGTAAATAAAGCATTTGATGGAGTAAAATTGTGTCAGGAAGGTAAATAGGATTGTGGGAGCTAAGATAATTTACTGCAAAGGTAAAATATAGGCTAGAATTAAACTTGACAAACTGGATTTTTAGAAAGCTAGCTCTACAGGTCTTTTTTATCTTGCTGAGAAATTATAGGTTTCCATTCCTCATACCAGTGGGTTGGTACCATCTCCCCAGACCCCTGGCATGATGATCTGGATGTGTTTCTGCCCCAGTAGTAGGTTCTTTGGTCCCACTGACGCAGTAATATATTCCTATCTCAGTTCTCTAGAGCTGCTATAACAGAAATGCCATAAGTGGATGGCTTTAACAAAGAGAAACTTATTTTCTCACAGTTTGTTGTTGTTGTTGTTAGGTGCCGTTGAGTCAGTTCCAACTCATAGCAACCCTATGGACAACAAAACGAAACACTGCCCGACCCTGTGCCATCGTCACAATCTTTGTTAAGCTTGAGCCCCTTGTTGCAGAAAGAGATAAGAGCTGATGCCCTGAATTCGGATTTCTAGCCTCCTGAACTGTGAGAAAATAAATTTCTGTTCTTTAAAGCTACTCATTTATGCTATTTTGTCATGGCAGCCTGAGGAAACTAAGACATGCTGATTGTTTGGACACATAAGTGGGAGAATCTTTAAAGAGTTCTGTCATCTCCCAACACACCAAATCTTAGAGTAAAACTGATGCTCCAGAAAGATGGAGGGTATTTACCCCATGACTTCCTGTGTCCCTTGCACACCTCTGGGTTCTGGAGAATAGGAGTTAATTTTTATCAGAGACAGGGAAGCTGAGATTACCTGAAAGTCTTTGAAATCTGAAATTATAGGAGAATAATGCGCTTGAGTATTGTATTCATTTCCCAGAGCTGCCATAAAAACGTTCTACAAACTGGTGATGTAAAATAACAGAAATTTATTTTCTTACAATTCCGGAGGCTAGAAGTCCAAATTCAAGGCATCAGCAAGGCCATGTTCTCTCTGAAAGCTCTAGGGGAAGATCCTTCCTTGTCTCTTCCAAGCTTCTAGTGATTTTTGGAGATCCTTGGCATTCATTGGCTTGTAGTTGCATCACTCCAATATCTGCCTCTAGCTTCACATGGCTGTCTTCTTGCTGTGTCTCTTCTCCTTTTTTATAAGAATACCGCTCATATAGGATTAGGACTTACCCTACTCCAGTATGACCTAATGTTAACTTAACTGATAATATCTTCAAAGACCGTCTTTCCTAACAAGGTCATGTTCACAGACACTGGGAGTTATGACATCAACATGTCTTTTTAGGGGACACAA